TTTTTTTTTTTTTTTTTTTTTTTTTTTTTTTTTTTTTTTTTTTTTTTTTTTTTTTTCTTCTTTCAATTTCATTTTATCACGAGCATTAGAGTCAATGCTCCGCTGAGAACCACGCGAGAGTCATTCGTTCACCCCGAAACGATGTGTCTTTCGAAAAAGAAGGAGAGCACATAATACCTGCGAGACGATCGAGTCGCTGAGAGAGGGAGAAAACGCATTCCCTTTAAACGTAGCGAGTTCCTCGGTTCCTTGCTGTACTTACTTCTGTATGTACCCTCCGCTTGGAAGCCTTTTCCCGAAAAGTATTATTGAAGTCTCGGGTCTTTTGATCTCTCTCTCTCTCTCTCTCTCTCTAGCGTCCCTTTCCGAAGCCGTACAAGTCTGGCGTGAACAGTAGAAATGGCCCTCCTCCTCTCTCTATTTACATGTAGTCCCCGAAAGAGAGAGGCTGGCTCCGTACGAGCCCCGAATACCCTGCTCTTTCTCTCCGAGGCGTTTCAACCCTTGTGCGATTCGGTGGTGAGGTTTCGGTGCTCCTGTGCGTTTATATGCGAATGACATTTTGTGCACAGCCAAAGCCGGAAGTACAAAAGCATCACCGAGTGTACACAAATATACGGCTTTGTAACTGTAGATATTCGTGCCCGCGCGGGTGAGCTTTCGGTTTTAATACGGTACAGGTTAACTGATGGGGAGTAGAGGTATTTGTTGACGTGGGTCTACATTACTTGTATTATCTCTCTGCTACCGAGATTTTTTTAACATGGTACGAAGGTTGAGACTTTAAGGCGCTTGAGTGATCGGTCCTTTTCAGGGCAACTGTTTTACTGTTATGATTGCTGTACAATACTTGATTTTGCAACGTATTTCAGTTGATGGTATTTTAAGTAAGGTAATACCAAGTCAATAAAAAGTCAAATGAACAAATGTTTTTTTTTTTTTTTTTTTTTTTTTTTTTTTTTTTCTTCGTGGACTAGTTTCATTTTTACGAGTTACGCGTACCGTGCTTTGACAAAAAAAGTGGAATTTGCTGTGATTCAAATAAAAAAAGTTGAGGGGTCCACCGGCTAATCAATTGTGAAACTCTGGAGCAGGTTATCAATCAGACGCTTGATCCACTCTGGGACCAGACGCTTATATTTCCGCCGGTGGAGATCCACGGGAAGCGAGAGTACGTGAAAAATCACCCACCAAGGGTTGTCCTCGAGGTGCTCGACAGGGATTTTTACGTGAGTTTTGGAAATTCATCCTCTTTGTTTTTTTTTTTTTTTTTTTTTTGTTCTCCGATTGTGCATTTTCGAGCAGATTTTTTAAAAATTACTTTAGAGGATTAATTGCTTACAGGTCGTAGTGCATTAAATTAAATTTTTACTTGTAAATCCTCATCAATACAAACTATGGTGGTTTTATAATTTTCAAAGACTATCGTACGATTTGATGAGCATTATAGTCTATTCTTGTGAAGTTAGTGCTCAAATGTATTTGACAAACGTGATGATACATCCACGTATGCACCAAAGATATTAATCAGCTTGACGCGATCTATCAGTTCTCGAAGCACGCTATTATGATTTAACTCATTTATTCGAGGAATGGTTCGTACCAATGGTAATCAATTAGTAGCCGCTGATCTGAGCATTTCCATGCGTCAAAACAATATGTTTTCATCAGAAATCAACGATAACTGATTGAACTCGTCAAGTATGTGTGCCAATTATTCCCCGATTACTGTCAAGCCGGAAGATTCACGACAAACTAATCGAATTCAACCTACAAAGTATTATCCACATTGTCTAAAAAAAAGTAAATAAAACCATTACGTACAAAAATTTAAGATACAAAAAGAGGTACATTACCCATTGAACTTTGCAGAGCCTTGAACTGTATGGTAGGTTTATAGCCAAGCCATTGGTCAAGCTGGACGAAGAAATGAGTGAATTGTCAGATACCCCGGCCAAGCTGCGCTGGCACCGATTCGAAGCCTCGAAAACGACGAGCGCCAAGTCGTCGGACTTTGGTGCAGCTGTGCTGGCCGCCTTCGAGCTCGTCGAGGTCAGTACTTTACAAGCTCGACCACACGCTACGGTAATGGCTTGTCGAAAAAAAAGGTGGCGTATCTTATGTTTTCGCGGGAAAGACTCGTTTTGTTCAGATCATGAATTTCCCGTTTCAAGGGATGAGTGAGTTTGGGCTTTGAAAGCTTTTTTGGCTCTGTTGGTCGGGGAAATAGAAATAGGACACGTTTGAGATTTTTGAGAAAATTTTCGAATCATTGTTACAACTTGCTCGTGAGAAGATCAACGACAAGGAGATCCAAGAGGACAGCGTGAAGATGTACAAGGTACCCGAAGACGTGAGGCCGCGAATGGCGAGTTACAGGCTGGAAGTGATATTCTGGGGCGTCAGAGACATGAAACGCTTGAATTTTGTGCCAGTTCATCGGCCAAAGGTCACTGTCAACTGTGCCGGGACGCATGTAGAGTCCCAAGTCATGGAAAACGCGAAAAAGTTTGCAAACTTTCGGGAGAACCGAGTGACCGTCGATATGGTAAATTGTACTTATTTTGAATATTTTTCATTTTTTTTTTTTTTTTTTTTTTCGGCACTTTTAAGTATAAGAATATATCCAATGTGTAAAGGAAACTCGAGGTAGGGCAAAAGTATTGCCGTTAGTGTAGTAAAAAACATGTGTCTGACTAAACTTGACTTACACCACTTGATTATTGAACTTCTACAGAAATGTTAATTTTAGAGCAGCCATATCACATGTTGTGTGATAAAAATGGAAGTCTGACTAAACTTGACGTAAACTACTTAGTTGTTAAAGTTTTAAAAAAATCTTGAGATTGAGAGAGGGTAGATAAACGATTTATGATGTAGTGAAACTCTAGCTGAACTACTGCATCATTTTATTTGTTTAAGAAATTCGGAATAAAGATACTTACCGAAGTATCAGGTTTAATGCAGTAAAATCCTACGTCTGACTAAACTCGACACGTACTACTCATAATGAGAAAAAAAAATTACGTTCTATACGGGGTAATTATTCGTTATTCGAAGAAAATTAATCGAGAAGTACATTATTAGCACGCTATTATCATACCGCGTGATGATTATTTACAAGGTAATTTCAGCTGGCGTAGCGCAATAATTAATGTAGTAATTACGACTATGCTCTTACAGCGCGTCAATCATAATTATAAAACTTCGCGACCATCTCGCTAATTGAATTTCCTATTAACATTTTAACTTGAGAGTTTCAAGCACGAATACAATATCTTTTTGGTAAAACTGCCGAACAAACGAGAAATAAAGCTGTTCGGTAGATCGTTCACGATCATCGGGCACTCCTCACTCGTCGGTACCTCGATAATTCCAGGAAATGCCGGAGGAGGAGACGTATTACCCGCCGCTGACAATAAAAGCCTACGACTCGCGGGGCTTTGGCTACTTCAAGTACGCAGGTGTGTGCAGCCTAGCGACGATTTACGCCTTGATGCAGCCTCTTGTTACGAGGAGCGAGTACGAGGCCGCCATTTATCATTCCTCCTCCTCCTCCTTCTTGAAAAAGTCCCGGCTAACTGCCGCTACTGCTGCTGCACACCGTAAGTGTAAAAAGAACGAAAAAATGATGTATGGAGTGCGTGCTATACCCATACGGCAATACTGTTGGCTTGTTTTTTTTTTTTTTTTCCTTCTTTTTTTATTTAGTTCTTATTAATCTCGACGTGCTCTGTGAGACGCGACGGCTTATTCGTTGGGATGAAAAATTTACTGCTCCCTGATTTATTTTTATTTTTGCCGTCACTCGTGTGTCGTCGTCGTAGTTATCGTCGAGTAGGAGCTTGGGATGCATCGCGGAACGAGTGCTCATTAACTTCTCACGGGAGGACACTTTTTCGAGAGCGGACTGCTCTCTGTCCATTTTCTATTTATACATTTAATACTCGCGGAGCTTCAACTGACGAATACATTTAAAACGCGATACAACGCGTGTACGACTCGATAACGAGTACCCACACCTGCAGCACCTTAAAAAAAACTCCTGCGATAAATCATTCGAGAAACTTGCACTTTGCGAGAAAAAACCTAGAGCTGAACAAAAAACACCCCACCACTTGATTTCGTACCCCGAGGAAGCTTAATTCTGAGCGTTCAGACGCAGTGACGATCGATGCGAAGCCAGAAACAGCCGAGGCTGCCGCGCTGACGAGCTACAAGACTCTGGCGAAACAGCGTCGCGACTCCTCCTCGCGCGGTCACTTCCTGAAACGTCTTCTGGCCTGGCGGCGAGCGGCCTCCAGTGTTCGGATCACCCCTGCCGCGGACAGAGACGAATCGCAGGACTGGTGGAGCAAGTACTACGCCTCGCTTGAGGTAACGCGCCTTACAAGTTCCGTGTATGTATAGGGGAGGAATTACATGCGATGCTGGCAAGCTGTGCACTTGTCGCGCTTCTGGCCGTGAGAGCGACGATATACTCTGGGCTCCTCTCTTTGTCTCTCGTGCGACTGATTCGAACAGTCTTGTACGGAGAATCAGGGTGTGCAAGAAGGAGAAAACGTTATTTAATTTTATTTTCACGGTTTGTGGACACAGCCGGTTGTTTCTTTGTTTTTCAAGACTCGCCCCGAGACTTTCCAAAGAGGGGGAGTTTTCATTTCGTCCCTAATCGGAGGCTAAATCAACCGAAAACTTTCGTCTTTCGAGTCAAGATTAACTCTCGTTCGTTTGCTTTTCAGGAGGAAAAAAACAGGGAGAGAGGCTTGGCACCGATTTCTCGCTCGTGGCAGGGGCATTCGGCAACATTGACAGTAAGTGTATTTTAGGTACGAGGTCACGCAAAAAATAAACGAATGTACCTACGCTTCTCCCTTTTTGTTTTTGCTTTCATCCTGGCTCAGGTGTACCTATTTTTTTTCATTGTACGGGGCAAAATTTGAATTTAAATTCGAATAATGTGATGTTTATCGCGTGATAGCTTTTCAAAAACAGTAGTAAAAATCATTTCACACCCCTCGAGCGAATAAACCGTACGCAGCAATCGACTGGATGTAAAATGTTCCGGAAAATCAGGTTTACGCGGCGGAGTTAGAAGCGCAGCCAGAGTTCTCAGCTTTTCAGGACCGGTTGCGGACTTTCGAGCTTAAACGCGGCAAACGGACCGTCGAGGACGACGCCGACAACTTTGCCGGCAAATTCAAGGTAAACTCATTTTAGACGCTCAACAGCGCGAATTAAGCTCAACTACTCGTTGAACACAGTTTTTCCACCAGCCAAAAAAAAAAAAAAAAAACGAGCAGGTGGAAAATTTTCGTTCCACGGTATCTTGTAAATAATTTTACGCGCGTCGAAGCAGGAAAAATAAAACGTAGCTCGAGTCGGGGCAAGAGCGCCAGCGTGTAATAAAACGCAGCCGCCCCTTTAAAATAAGAATCCACGGTGGATGCGCTTCTCTTTGTCTCCGTGCACCTACACAAGTCCTCTAATGGGCAGTACTACAACTGCCAAGGGGAAAATAAAGACGTGCAGGCTTTGCCGTAGCAAAATAAAAAATAAAGGGTATGCGCGTGGATTTTCGTTGGATATTTTTTTTGAAAATTTAAAGACTCATCAAAATTCTGGTATTTTTTTTTTCAACAATATGTCAAGACCGTGACGACTCTGTGGTGCTCAACATTTTCTTCCGGTATACGTATTTGATTTTTTCTAAAAATTTCTTCACCCTCGATTTTTCGTCACAGTAAAAACACTCGTGTCAAATTATACCAGTCTTTGACAAATTAATGAGCCAGATAAAAAAATAATAAGACTATTCTTTGTAGGGCTACATCGCCGTTTACCGTTGGCCGCATCCCGAAGGTCTGGCCTGCGTGAATCGCCTGGGCCAGAGCGCCAGTTTCGGCCTCTGCAGCGACTACCCCTCACAGGAGCCATTACAGCTGCTCGTGCGCCTGTACGTCGTCAAAGGTAATGTCATGAGAAATTCACTAACTCGAGTCCCCTCACCGTCCACTCGATAGTGATATCACGGGGGGGGGGGGGGGGTACAGCTTCTGTGCAGTCGCTTGAAATTCTCTTGCATCCCCCTGTTTTCACGACCCCCCGAGTTAGACTCGGTAATTTATTTTTCTATAAATACAAACGAGCTTCTCCCCTCCCCCCATACATCCATATTTTACCAACAGTTGCACAACCCTGTGGAGGACTTAAAAAAATTATACTTTCGATTCTTCCCCTCCGCCCTCGCCCGCCACCCCAATTTTCCTGCGCTCGAGTATCCTCTGTCGACGTTCGTATTTCCAAGACCCTCGAATTAACAATTCAATCGATTGCCGCAGCTATCAACCTAAGACCCAGCGATCCCCTGAGCGGCAAGGCCGATCCGTACTTGCGCGTCGAGTTGGGCAAGAACCGCGTCAACGATCGCAAGAACTACATTCCCAATCAGCTTAATCCGACATTCGGCAGGTGAGTGCTGATTAATCATTGTCCTTTTTTTACCAGGGATACAAAAGTGTTTAAAGTTGTTTTGGGCATGAAAAACATTACACCTATCGCGAGAGAGCGTCACCACCCCGTTTGTCCATGCAGACCCTTGTGTCTCGGTGAAACACTCCTTTTGGGTCAGCCGGAAAGTATAAATAAAACGCGATGAATCGACAATCACAGCTGAGCTAATTAAAATCAAGTGTCCACTTGCTCCCCTCTGGTTTGGATAACTTATACCAATACCATTACTACAAAGTGGTATGGGTAATGATTGTACGCTATCGACACTCTCTCTCTCTCTGCGTTTGAACCCCATCTAAAGGAGAAAAAAAGAGGCAATGTTCGGGACAATGTCCTCTTGGGGTTGTATGCCGTACTTGATGAGATGAGACTGTCGATCGTCTTTTGGAGGACAAAGGGGAAACTTTCGTCAAACTGAGACTACAGCTATAACCCATTCCGTCTTAATGGAGTCTTCGACACCCCTCGAGGACGAAAGGTTATCGGAAAGAGATTAGCCGGATTGATTTTCAATTTCTCCGACTGCTACACGATTTTTTTCTCTTCTTTTTCATCCACGAGAACCATGAAATATCATTAAACACTTTTGATGTCGCGGGAGGACAGTTTTTTCTCCACTGCATCCAAAAAATAAGGAGTTTTTCATCCATGCTCCCGAAAAAAAAAAAAAAAAAAAACCCTCATGTTGTAGAGTAATCGAGCTGGACGCTGCGTTCCCGCGGAACCACACCCTGACGATCCAAGTCTGGGACTACGACGCGGCGAGCTCGGACGACCTGATCGGCAAGACGGAGATTGATCTCGAGAATCGATTCTACAGCCGGCATCGGGCCCACTGCGGTCTAGCTCTGAGGTACGACGAGGAGGGCTACAACGCGTGGCGCGACCGCGAGAAGCCCACCCAGATACTCTACCAGCTCTGCAGGCGCAACAACCTACCCGCCCCCGAGTTCTGGCCGGACCACGTGATAATAGCCAAGAGAAGGTTCCACTGCTCTACCCTGCCCGAGGACGATGTGGGTACGTTTGGATGCATGCCCACAAGCGACAACGGCCACATCTGTACGTGTATCTTAATATAAGAATTTATATCGCTATTGTTTTTCCAGACCGGGAGGAGCACATGGCACTGAGCGTCCTGCACCGCTGGGCGGACTTTCCCGTTTGCGGCTGTAGCCTCGTCCCCGAGCACGTCGAGAGACGACCTCTTTTCAATCCCAAGAGACCCGGGCTCGAGCAGGTTTATGCTTTTTCTTCTCTCTACCCCCCCCCCCGTGTGCCTCATCAAAGATTCGATTTAACTTTGGACCATCGGGCTCGCGTGCTCCGCTTATAAATCAGAGGCTACTGCGTTCTTTTTTCCTGTGAAATTTTCTTTGACGTAACTGGTGCTCGAGGGTGGCTTTGATAGAGTATCAAGCGAAACAATACTCTAATTATATTTTACGAGGTGCACGATGAATTATAGAGATGGTCCGGGAGTTTTGCATGGGATCACATCAACCATGTGTGTACACAATTAAAAATAACGATTCGATGTGATAAAAGGTACGCGTTGTTTTTGCAACGTCGTTCTAATGCTCTGAACGACGGAAATCATTTACAATCTTCTTTGGTAAATGTATTATTCTGTTAGTTGTTTGAATCTAGTGGGTTAGCATAGTCTAGCGGATAGAATCGTGGCTCTGGACAAAGAGAGAATTAAAGGTCCGAGACACAGCGAGCAGTAAAGGCCATGCCTGCGTATGAATATACTCAAAAATGAAATAGGATGTATGAATATCACAACGTCCCTCACATGCTCGGTTTTTTTTTTTCATCTCATCAAGCACCCTTTAAAGCGTCGTTAATATTGATCAGCATTATTGTAACGCAAGGTTTTGTGAGTTTATTGCACCGAGGAATTACTACAGACACCCCACGGGGTGAAATTCATTCTTTCCCGGACCTCGTTCGAACCGATAGCCTTTTGCAACCCAATATACATGTCCATCCCGTGAGTTGTTGGTCTTGAAATAAAAAGAACAATCTACCCCAGGGTAAGCTGGAGATGTGGATCGACATGTTCCCAGTGGACGAGCTGCCGGCCAAACCAGCGGTCGACATAAGCCCTCAGCCGCCCGAGGAGTGCGAGCTCCGTGTGATCATTTGGAACACCGAGGACGTGCCCCTCGTCGACAACCAATTCCTCACCGGCGAAAAGTGCTCCGACATCTACGTCAAGGGGTACGGGTGTATACACCGAGTCCTCCCGCCGTTTACCATACAATATATACCCTTCCATTCCAGGTGGATCCTGCCCGAGGACACGCAGCGCACGGACGTGCACTACAACTCCCTGACCGGCGAGGGCAACTTCAACTGGCGCTTAATTTTTCAGTTCACGTGGGCGAGAGCCGAGCGGGCTATGGTCATCAAGCGACGTAGCCACGTGTTTGCCAAAGACCCGACCGAGCATAAGGTGCCGTGCCGGCTGAACCTCCAGGTCTGGGACAGCGACCACTTTTCCAAAGATGACTTTCTAGGTGAGTGGAGGGTTGTTTTTTCAAAGCTGTGAGAATTCGGCCTCGTTGCCTTTCTTGTTTTTTCCTCCTTTGCTCGTGCCGATCGATTTCATATTCGGACGGGCTATTTTTGACGCTGACCATCTCCGCTCTGGGCTACAGTTTTTTTTGGTGTTGTGATCGATTGCGAGTTATTGGGTGGAAATGGGTCGTCGTGCCGGGCGAATTGGCATTTCTGGCCCGAACGCTAATTACCCGGATGCCCTTTCGATCAGATATAGAGGCGTGGGGTGTGATAAATGGGCTCCCTAGAAAGAAAAAAAAAAAAAAAAAAAAAATTGTTTTAATCCCTCAAAGAGGTTGATAATTAATCGAAGCGAGTGTAGATGTGTGTGCCCTGGGAGGAGCGGAGACAGTGACGTTGCAGCTATGCAATGGTCGCGTGAATTTTGATGAAAATTAATCGTATCGGAGGGTACGACCTACGCGACACAACTCGTGTATTTTCGTAACACATTCGGAAGGGATCGCGTGACTCTGCGGGTTATCACGCCTAATCAGCCTTTTCGACCACCTCGTCCTCTGTTTTTTTTTTTTTTTTTTTTTTTTTTCGTCCCGCAGCGAAAATATTTACCGAGGGAACATTCACACCTTTCGGTCTCCCTATCGCACACACACACCGGGCAGATACCATCCACCTCGTACATCTAAATATAAAAGTTGAAAAGTGCATGTGCCGTGGGGGGCGAGCGGGAGGGAGGGGTGTATCCAGGTCAACTCTTTCCCGGCAGGGCTACCCTTTTTTGTTATCATCATTGTTTTTGTTATCGGTGCCGAGCGCGAAAATTCGTATCCTCGGGTGGTCGTTGTATGTAAATTCCGAGACATCGGACTGTAGAATCGCTCTCGATGGAAATTTGTCATCCAAGAGCTATCGGTCATCCGTCGCGGTGGAAGGGTACGTTTGATTTCATTATTCAATGCCAATGAGCGCTGGGACGAGTAATTTTGCACACCATTAAACGATACTGATTAAAATTATTCAACGATTATAACGAAGTTACATCATCCTCGCATAAAATTCACTCGAAATTCTGCCAGAGGCTGAAATTACCAAAAATTCTTAACCCAATGAAATATCTCAGTCCACACTTGGCCCACATTCGCTCGAGTCCCTCCCATCGTGCATCAGCGCGTATTTTCCAAAAGCACACGAAATCATGCACACTTAAAAAAAAATCCGAAAACCGTGACAGGCAGCCTGAGCCTCGAGCTGGCCAACATGCCCCGTGGAAGTCCCAGTGCCCAGAGCTGTGGCCTCAAGCTTCTCGATCCCCAGTCACCGAGGATGAACCTGTTCAGAGCTCAGCGGGCCAGAGCCTGGTGGCCCCTAAGCACGAGCACCCCTTCGGGAAAGTACTACCCCGCCGTGAGTACATACTATACGGATTAGTTTCATTTACTTAATACTCCGAGTCGATGCACGAGTGTTTCACCGACAAACTCGTTTTCGCCAGGGAAAAATCGAATTGGAGCTCGCAGTGCTGCCGCTCGAGGAGGCGGAGACCCGGCCCGCAGGCAAGGGCCGCGAGCCCCCGGAAGAGCTGCCACTGCCCGAGTAAGTAAGGCAGAACTGCCGCTCGGGTGATGGCCGAGAATTGAATTAATTTCGGGGCGCGCTGCGTTGGGGGGGTCGGCTACGGTGGAAGTTTAATTAAGTCAGTGGCACCGCAAACCTCGGCTCTGGGGGGGGGGGGGAAAAAGAGAGCGGCGCGGACGCAGGTTCGCCGATGTTGTTTTGTAATTCAGTTAATCGCGATTGGGTATCTTTGTGGTTTTTAACACCAGGAGGCACTTGTGGAAAATCGTACACGCGTAAATTTCCGTATCGGTAACACAAGAAGAAGAAGAAGAAGAAGAGGCGTAAAATTAAACCATCGCACCGACAGCGAAGCGATAAATTATACGTGATCGTTTCGAAGGTACGACGGAGATAAAACAGCCGTACGCGTCGCGGCGTGGCTCAAAGTAATAAATGTCACGGGTTAATTTACGATAAGGCGCAGCTGCAGCGAGAACCGCGAAACGATATCATCGAAAGATGTTCGCTGTTGAATCATATGCTTTTTATTTTTTACCCTCGAAACTTTGTCATTGTGCTCCACCGCGCGTTTGGGTGTAGGAGCACGAATTACTACATTTGTGTGCTTCCATTTTTCCATTTTAAGAACAATTTTAATTAAAAAATTTTCTCTGCGCCCCAATTACCAGGCCAAAGATTATAAATTCTCGTAAGATACACACTCGTGGCGAATAAAAAAATCAACGGAAATTGTTCAAAAGGTAAGAATTGTTTCTCGTAACGTGCATCCGCGAAATTATCGGTCCCCCGAACCAAAATATCGCGGTCAGCCTTGAAACTGCGCTCCGCACTTGTATACGTATTCCGTGAATTCCGATACACCGCAAAAATAGCACGCAGATGTGCATGCCAATATTGCGCTCTTTTACTTTTTTTTTTTTTTTTTTTTTTTCACTCTGCGAGCTTTCGGATAACAACCACACGAAATTCGGTATCCGACGCGTTGTAGTCATAATACAAGGTTTCTTTTGTTTTGTTTGTGCAGTTGAGTTTGCGTTTCTTGGAAGCTGTAATTTATTTTTTTTATTACCTTTGGTTCTGTAAATTAGATTGTTTTAGGGTAAGAACGTTGATAGTAATTGAAATATAAATATATGAGAGGGCTAGGGATGAGCTGCTGCTCTTATTAGACACCATCGAAGTATATTCCATAAAAAATACCATAGATAAACAGAAAAATTGCGAAACAAATCAAGTATTGTCTTTGATACAGCAGATGTGTCGAAAGTGAGGGCCACACGATTCGAAATTTAATAAGTTCTTTAAAAACAAAACAAAGCGTTGCAGCGGAAATTCCCTAAAAATTCAGAGCACTAACGAATAGCAACAATAGCTTCAAAATCACCTTGACCAGAGCGAAAAAGAAAAAAATGCCTTTTGCCTAGAAAGGACAGTAGATATGTATAAGATGCTCACGGCTGTCATGAAAAAAAAAAAAAATCTGAAATTCAAAACTCGCAGCTCCCATTCGTGACTGCTCGAACAGATAACACCAATCGCTGAGCGCATAAATTTTCCCTTCGACCCTGAAAAAAAAAAAAAATCCCTTTCAAAGCTACCAACGTAAAATTGAGCCAATCCCTCCCCGACAGAGGAAATCCATTCGCGAATCTATGTGGTACCCGAGTTGTTGAATCAAAAGTGAAACCCTCGGCTTCTTTTGCTCGTCGACGATTCTTCGAGAATTGAAAGAGCGCGTATTTTTCTGTCGTTGGGAATTTTTTTACGAGCCCTCGCCGATTTATTTGGGATGGGCCGCTAAGGAGATTCACGAGAAATTGGATGAAGAGAGATTTATGTTTACCGGGATTTTTATGATATTTGCGATACGGAGGCTGAGTAATGCGTCCTTTGCGAATAAAAAAAAAAGTTTTATCGCACCCCAACCCGAAGTGATACCTACTTTGCAGCGGGAAAATGCTCTCGCAACTTGTGTTTGCGGACTCTTTGTTGCGTAAAAAGCTTTTTCACGTCTTATAAATGTTAGCAATTGTTCTCCTCACCTTTTATAGATAGAGAAAAAACGAGTCGGTTCGTTCAAGTAGTAAGAGTCGAGTGCGGTCAGACATCGCCTAAAACGTAACTTAAAATTTTTCAAGACCATCCCAACTACGAAAAAATATGCATTGACCTCACGTTCACCCACAGCCGTCCGGACACGTCGTTCTCCTGGTTTCGCAATCCCTGGAAGGCCTTCCGCTTCGTGTTCTTCCGCTACTACAGGTGGCGAGTGCTCGGCTGCTGCGCCTTCGTCCTTCTCGTCCTCCTGATCGCGTGCGCCGTCTATGCGTTCCCGGGATACCTGGTCAAACGTCTCCTCAAAGCTTGAAGCTATACAAGTCCACAGAAATGAAATGTAACTGTGTTTTTTGTAAACAATGGGTAAGTTGCGATGTAAGTTTAGGGTTATTTTTCAAAGAGATAAAGGTACGACATATTATCCTCAAATGTTTCACGTGTCCTTCTTTTTCCTTACACTGTGACATGAACAAATGTTTTTTTTTTTTTTTTTTTTTTTTAATATTTATTTTTTGACCCACTTACCGGTGCAGCCGAAAGCTCAAATGAGAATTCCTCGCGTACAATAATTTCAATAAACCCTCGCTCTCGGCTTATGGAAACGCACTATATCGATTTCCGAGAGACCGAGTTCAGTCTCGCTCGAAATATTATTCACGGGCGTAATATAGTAATGGAAAAAAAAAAAAAAAAAAGAGAGAGAGAGAGACGCTCTTTCTCTCTCGGGAGAGCCATGAGTAGTCATCGATCGGAAAGGAAACTTTTTTCTCCGCCGTCCGTGGAAAATAGTTTAGCGAAAAAGGAAAAAATACGAGGGGGGCGACGCAGTGCGCTAGCTGTATTTTCCAGCATTCCCCGAGAGAGAGAGAGAGCATACCACGATACGGGGAAGAAAAATGAGAGGCAGAAGGGAGGCCGACTTTATTTCGGCCGAACGTATATTATTATCTCGAAGAATGTACTCGTCATCCCCTCCCTCCCTCGTAACGACGTAATCGGGGATATTCAACGATTAATGGCACCGAAATCTCCGTCCAAGGATTTATTCATGAAAAGTCTGGCTCTCGCGTTACGTAGATTATTCAGCAGACTCGCGTTAACAATCCAACACGTTTCACGAAAGCCGCAACCGAGGACTTTCCCTTGACAGCGTCAATAAAACAAATAAGGCTGACCCCCCCCCCGTGACACCCACCTCACGCTACATCAGCAGCTTACCTCGGCTGTACCTTTCTTTCCTTTTTTACGAGTTTTACCTCCCTTCCGTGCCCTTTCTTCGACTTTGCTTTCAAGGGCTGTTTTTTTTTTTTTTTTTTTTTTTTTTTTTTGTATCCTTTCCCTCTCTCATCCAGAAGCTTTTTCGTTTGTTTCTTGCTCACTTCGTCGCGCTTTGCATTTCATGAATATTCAGCTCGTTCTGCGTTATGTGTATGTACGTAAGCTTTCACGTTAGTTTTTACTCGTGTATTCATACGCAAGCGATACGGATGGTTGACCTCTTGGTTGTTAAACCGTACTAATTGCGCTTGAGCTTTTTTCGTGGGAGTGATTGATCCGTTAAAAAACTCACTTTTCGCAATAATTTGCCAAATCAATACCTGCGAACGACGTCAACTGAGATCTCGTAAGGACAAAAGGGGAGAGGCCGTATGAATAATATCCAGCTCTGGGGAGGCGATTGCGCAACAAATTGAAGAAAAAATAAAAGATAACTCCAGCTCGATATCGGCGCGATCCCGAAAAGAAGACAAGATCCTGCGAGCTCGTATCACAGGGTGTACAGGAAAAGGAGGTCAGTAGGCAGACGGGGGATACTATTTTTGCGGGTGCCAATCAGGAAAATTAAATAAGGCAGCTGCCGAGATCCTCGGGACCGAACTAACGAACGGGGGGGGGGGGGGATATTTCACGTCCAGCGTTGTTTCATTCACTCGGCCGAAAAGTTTTTCCTTCGGAGGGTACCGTGTATATTCCCCCGGGGGTTTATCGATTTCCCGGAGATATCAAATGACCGTCGGAAAAAGACGCATCGGAGTCTCTTGAACCGTCTATTCCCAGGACACGATTTTTCAATCGCATTGTCGAGCGTGTACGATTATATGCTCCCTGGATCGCGTAACGTTACCACCCAAGTGAATCCTTGTAATTTTCACCTACCTACATTCACCTCTGATTCATGATTCGTATAGTCATTCAGCGAATTTCCTCCGAGACTCGATTTCAGTGGGAAAATTTTCATTTGGCAAAGACTCTCCCCCCTCCATTACCTCCCGACTTCCATCTCCCATTCATACGAGTTTCAAGCGCCGTTGATGTAAAACACACGGGAGTGAAAGGCAAGTCCTTCGTTAAGCGGTGAAAGGATACTCACCCTTTCACCGCAAAGGAATGTATAAAAAAAAAAAAAAAAACGAAGGGAAAACAGAGCAGTATATAGGCGTGCACGACCTCAAGGGTGCAATTTCCATCCCCGTGCACACACTGGGCTCGGCCGGTCGTAAAGTAGAGGCTGGAATATCGAAGGGACGCTCCATGACTTGATTCAGACCTTTCGCTTCTTCGCTGAAAGGGTCGAAACGGCTCGTAAATACCGGGTGAATATTGACTTGTCTCCTCGCGGGTGGTGCTGTAATGCGATGCCTGCCTGCTTTCGATTCGAAAAGGGATGGTTTTTCCAGTGCTTCTCGGCTATTTTTCATCCATCGCTAACATTTACCATTTCAACTTCAAGTGCCGTAAAGGGGAAGCTTTTCCCCTGGTCAAAAGGACACTTTGCTAAGCCAAGCCTTTGTGGTTGGCGGCCCACACACAAAGCGCCCAAACGAGAGTAAGACTCTCCGTTGGAAGGGGACGAAGAAAAATCCGCGGGAGGGCCTAAAAGCACGGCCAAGTGCTAGCTGGCTTTCACGTGCATCCCCCGCTGTAGGGTCCGTCTACTGCTTCTTATCGATGTTTTGTTTCTCTTCCATTGTCGTCGCCGCCGCCGGCGCGTCATCCTATACGCGTATCGACCGGCTTGCCATAATTCACCTACTTCCACCCCCCTCTCATTGTTTGCTCGCTTTCTTCTCTTTGCTCTTGGCTTGGTTTATATACCACCCGCAACCTCTCGGGCTTGGAAAAACCAAGGGCTGACGTGGTGCAGGTACACCCCGGAATGCGGCGTAGGTTTTCTTTGAACGGCGATTTTCAGCCTCCATCGTGACTCCGTGCCTTGTTGGTGAAAACAAAAGCTGCAACCAGTTCTGCACACAGAAACGTTGTTATCGAAAGTTACCGCGGCTCTCTTTCTCCGACTAGGAACTTTATTTACTTGCTCCCGGACTCGCTTTGACCGTGTACCTGCAGAGGATACTTTTCAATTTTATTTGATTTGAAGTTCAATTTTAACGATTCGCTCTGCGCAAGGAAAAGAGTACTACACACCTATTTCTTTGGATGTACTCGATAACCGCGTGCTATAAAACCGACGGCCGTCAAACATTTACCCTGCCTCCCGGAGACGTCGGGTCTAAGTAATTACGATTTTTTAATACCTGCCCCCTCTTGTGGCTCTCGGAAATCGATACCGAGCACTCAACTCGAAACCATCACCCGTTGAGAGGTAATGAGGTAAAAAAAAAAAAAAAAAAAAAAACTCTATCGAGTAAGTACAAAAAGCGAGTGGCAGACGCAACGCGTGTCTGATATCGGCGTTTGCAGTTGCAGCGAAACACAAAGTTCGATTTTTCCTCGGTGGGGCGGGAAGCTCAGCCGAGGGAGTTGCACCGTGTGTTCGTTCTCATTTCGGCGCTGCTTTGGAATTCGCTGTTGCGCTGGCAGGTGACGTGGCGTACCTATTCCGGTCATTGTTTCCTCGCCTCGCTGCTTATTAATGACAAAGACAAAGGCCCCCCGGGGGTTTTGACGTCTGTTTGCTCACCGAGTACGGTCTGGGTATTGATTTCTTAAGCGATTGCTGCATTAATCTTTTTTTTGTTTTTTTTTTTGCTCCGCGAAATTTATTTTCATATCGATGACAGTGTTTTTTCTAACTTTGTCCAACCAATGCATTAGCTCTGCCGCATGTTTCAAGGTGCTGGGGGATAATGACGATTCGCACGCGATCGCAAGTTGGGTGTGAAAACAACGGTATTAATTCTGTTATCCTCCATTACGTAAAATAATCAGGTGGCAAGGCTTTCCCGATGATAGATGTACATACAGATACGCCGTTCGGTCGAATGGAAACGTAAGAACGAACTTTCTTTTAGAATGAAAAAAAAAAAAAAAAAAACAGCTCAGTGTACGTGGGCTATGCATCACGAAGTTTTAAAATGATGCACGTGGGCAAACATTTTACCAAGAAATCTCGTGTGCGTTTCTCGGTTTATTTGCACGCTTATATGTAAGTGTTGAGAAAATAAACTTTTTTCTCCCCAAAGTTGGCAAAGTACCTCGTTATCTCGGTTTGACTTTACTCGAACTGCACTCGCTCTATTTTACTTGGAGTAAAATCGACTTTTGAAACAGTTTTTTTTTTTTTTCTTTTTTAATCATAAAAGTTTAAAGCCTAAGAATTAAAAACGCGAAAGCTCAAAGTCATTCCTTTTTGTCGAGGGGATAATTAGCGTGGACTAGTTATACCTCAGCTTACGTGCAGTAGTTGTCTTTGGAGTCAAAGATTTTCTCGTGAATATCTACTTAATGCTTTAACACGTTAATTAGGTATTGAAAGGAGTGCGCTGAATCAATTATTCATTGCGTCGGCACAGCAAAGGATGTGTTTCAGCTCGGAGGAAGATATTAATAATGCCATTTTTCGCAGCAGATCTCCCACAGTAAGGGTTGTGTCATTGTTGTACCAACGAATTATCAAAAAACTTTGTTCATCAAAGGTCAAAGCGAGACGACGATAAGTGCAAGCTCGAGTCAGGCTTATCTCACCGATCTCGTTCTCTCTATACAATGATCTATCTACTCAAGCTTGCAAGCTCCCCGCGAAAATAGCCTCCACGCAACAAGAAACGTCGACGCGGCCTCGAATTTCGCGAGTATTGGGATCGCAGCAGCTCGATTTTAAAGCCGCTCGCTTTAATTGACTCAAAGGCTTGTCTACTATATATACTTTCTCCGGTGTGTGGGTTCACAGCAGTAATATGCATACACGTATGAGCCTGCGTGGAGTTTACATGCCCGGAGTTGCCGCGAGAGAAGATCTACAAAGTCGCGGTGCACCGGGCACGTCTCATCCCGTTTTTAATCCGATTAGCTTGGCTTTGCTTTACTTTTTTTTTTCCATCTTCGACTACTGGCATATTTTCGCTCTGG